TCTCGCCCGACAGGTCGATCTGCGCGGGCGCCAGGCGTGGCATCGACTTCGGCAGGGTGGCGCTCTACGCTACGCTGGAGCAGGCCAGCGCGAAGTACCAGCAGGTGTACGTCCGCTCGTGGGTGGACGACGTCACCACCAGGATGGAGGGGGTCCAGGCGCGAGGTGGTCAAGCAGCTCACGGGCGCTGGAGTGGACTTCGCCGCAGGGATCAGGAAGGCCAAGCTCACCCTTCCGGGCAAGCCCACCCTGATCGGCAACGACATGGACGTGGTCAAGGAGGTTGCGCTCAGGCTGAGGAGCCGCAACATCGTGGTCAAGGTGAAGGGCCAGGCGCCAGACCTGGACATAGACAGGGGCCACAGCATCGGAGGAGGCAAGGGCAAACACGCGAAGCGAGCCGCCGATGCCGACCGACAGGTGGCCAAGGCACTGAAGATGGCGAGAAGTGGTCGAAGGGCCAGAGGCGGCGCGAGACAGGTCGTCCAGCGGGGAGCTCTTCCCCGAGCAGCCTACGCGTGTAAGGTCTTCGGCATGGCTCCCAGCACGGTAACCAAGTGGAGGAGGAGGTTGGCCTCGGTGGTAGCCCCGCGCCTTCGGGGCCGCTGCCTCACGACGTTGCTGCAGCTGGAGATCGGCGTGGGCGATCCTGCGTTCGGCACGGTCTTATCGCTGCTAGACTCGTGAATACACATCGTCAGCGACCCGCAGAGGAGGAGGAAGGTGTGCATCATATGGCCACGCATCGTCTCAGCTATGCAGAAGAAGAAGCCGCAGCACAGGCGGCGAGGAGTAACGGGCATCACGCGCGCCATGGTGGTCACGCTGCTGGACCTGGAGTGGCAGCCTCTGGGGCCATGGCACTGGGCCTCGAAGGAGGGTGAGGTCTTCGGCGGCGACGACGAGCACGCGCTGGACGACGACGTGGACCTTAGCGACCTGAAGGCGGCGACCAATAGCACGATCGAGGTGGCGCAGTGGGCGAGGGCCGCGCAGCATGTTGCAGGCGGCGGACTGGAGGAAGGAGCTGACCTCCGCTCAGCAATGGGGAAGGTTGGCAAGTTGCGCAGGAAGGGCCAGTACGACAAAGTGGGCGCGTTCCTCGCGGTCATGACTGGAGGAGTGTGGCCGCGGCAGCGCGTGGCGGACCTCGGCATCGAGATCGAGGACGTCATGTGCCCTAGGTGCGGTGAGGGGCCCGAGACGTGGAAGCACCGCATGTGGGAGTGCAGGTGCAACGAAACCATCGATGGCATCGAGAAGTCGCAGCGCCTTGTGGCGAGAGCGGCCACGGAGGTAGAGAACCAACCGTGCCTGTGGCTGCGGGGCCTTCTGCCCGCGAGCTGGGCGTCGGTCAACGGCCCGCCCGAGCCAGGTGCGGGGCTGATCGAGAGCTTCGGTGACTTGCAGGTCCTGCCCGCACGGAGAGCACGACCGACGGGTGGCTCATCGCGGCTGGTGATGCGTCAGGCGGCGAGTACTCGAAGGACCCAAGGCTGAGGGGGGTGTCTTGGGGCTGGGAGGTCTTCAACTGCATGGGCCCAACCGGGGCGAAGGTGGTCGCGGGCAGCCGAGGCGCTCTCGCAGGTTGGAGGCAGAGCGTCAACCGCGGGGAGCTGGTGGCGCTGAAGGACGTGGTCATCGCAGCTTGCGGGTGCTATGACAAAATCAGGTACACCGCCGACTCGTCGTACGTGGTCAGAGGCATGGGCAAGCTTCGAGGAGGGAGGATGCCCAAGTCCCACGTCGACCTGTGGAAGGAACTCAAGCAGGGCATCATCGGCAAGCACGTCGAGATCATCAAGGTGGAGAGCCACATGTCGGCCCAGGAGGCGCTGGACGCAGAGGTCAACCCGATCGGCTGGCTCGGGAACGTTCTGGCGGACGACTTCGTGGACGGCATAGTGGAGTCGGTGCAGGTGTCGCGCGCGCAGGCGAGGTCTGTGGGGTTCGCGGAGGGCGTCGCGGAGCTCATCAGGGACCGAGCCTACCTGACGCTCATGGCATCCATCGAGGCGGAGCCGTCGCAGGTCCCGAGCTTGAAGATCAGGCAGGAGGCCCGCGTCAAGGCGCGCAGGCGTGCCAAGTTGTTAGAAAGCACCAAGCACAACATCGCCCACGACGTGAGTGGCAATCACTTCAGGTGCCTGAGGTGTGGGTCCCTCGCGCTGATGTCCTCAGCGGACGTGTGGCTGGCAGGTGAGTGCATCGCCGCGCAGAAGGCGGGCGCTGTCCACGGTTCTCTGAGGAGCAGGCCGAGGATTGCGAATCAGGAGGCCCACGAGAGCCACGTTGTGCTGTACGTGGAGGAGCTCGGCCTCCACTACTGCAAGAAGTGCGGTTGCATCGCGAGAGAGAGAGAGAGAGAGAGAGAGAGAGAGAGAGAGAGAGCATGAGGAAACTGGTGCAGGTGTGCGAGGAGATCCCTGGCCAGATGGGGAGGCAGAACCTCTCAAGGATCGCGAAGGGCCTGCAGCCGGGCACCAGCGCGATGGCGAAGGCCTTCAACAAGAGGAAGAGCGGAGGGATCTGAACACGCGCCGTTTGCGCGTGGCTCAGCCCTGTGCACTGCCCGCAGACTGCGGGAGAGGCTGCGCAGCCCCCTCGGCACAAACAAAATTCATTGGCCTTGCCGTCGTCATCGTCATCATCGCCAACACCATTGGTATCATCATCATTATAGTTGCCGCAGTTGCCGACGCCATCATGATATCGCGCCTTTTCGATTCACCCACCCGCACAGTGTTCGCGCGCCAGCGCGGACTTCGAGACGCGCTGGGAAGTTTCTCGCTAAGCGCCATGGCTGCCGCATGATTTGCCCCAAGCTAGAAATCAGCTAGCCGATCTGCGCGGGAACGTGCGCGCGCAAGTGCGGCCGCAGAAACGCGTTAGGAAGTTTCAATCAGTAGCCGCAGTCGTGGCCGCATTGGTTTTGCCAAACAGGTTGCGGGTGGGATGGTGTCGTGTTTGTTGCTGTATCGGTGGGGTTGACAAGTGCAATTTCCACAGGTGGGTTGCACCGTGATAGATTGCACATAGATTGCGCCACATTTCGGCGGCGAGCTTGGGGTGGAATGAGAAGCGGCGGGTCTTCTCAAAAGGCTCGGAAGGGTTTTTTTTTCCAGAGGAGTTCCCGAAGCCTTGCTCGAAGACGCCAAAACAACTTCCTGGACAGCCAGATGGCTTTGAGAAACCCCGCCGCCTTCTGAGAAGGTCTGCTCTGCCTCACCTCCCCAACGGGCGCGCCGCCGAACACAGGTCGCACCGAATGGAGCGATCGGCGCTGATTTTCCGTTCTGAAGGAAAACTAGGCTCTGCCATCCCCCTGTGCGAATTTCCATTTGTACAGGGTCCTGCCTCATCGTTCGTTCCCTGTATGGAACCATACAATCCCGTTCGAGCCCGTACTGGCCCTCCCCCCATCCCAGTCGAATAAACACCATGCGCGCGCATTTGTTTATCTGACAAGATGTTGTTCAACAATCCCTTGCGCAAGAAAAACTGACCACAAAATCCACACGCACGCGCATAACTTTCATATCAAGCACATAGTGCAGCAATCATCTCAGCTCAACGACCTGCAACACCCAGTGGCGTTCCAGTACGCATCTGGATGATTTTCTGCCCACGCGCACTTTTGCTGCCATCATTTGAACACCCTTCACGGTCTTAGCAATAGATTTCAGATACGGTGGGGGCGTTGGTTCAGGAACGTGCCCAGGAGGCTTCAGACCAAGCATCGATTGGAGTTCTACCGTAGGCCCACCGTCATCCAGACCCTGGATTCCTTATCCACGTGTTCTTGGTCCAATGCCTTCACTGTGCCGCATTCTCATCCCACCCCGCGGCATATTTGCGTTGATCTAGCATTCGTCAGTGCGCGAAGTTGTGTCAAAGAATACCGTGCTGACCACATGCGCGCGCCGCCACGCGCGCGCGTGTCAAACCCTGCCACACAACATTGGTGTCCGGAGCATTTCAAGATCGAGCTCGCCGACAGGTTCTGGAGTTGTACGTGTCTTCCATTTTTACAGATTGTTGAGTTTCTGCGCGCGCTCACTTCCCCATCACCCCCATCAGCGCCATCGCATCACCGCCGTTATCGTTTTCGCCGATCGCTGCTAAATCCCGCCACCATTATCACAATCACCTTCGTCCCCGACTCAAGAACATCAGCACTGCCATCGTCGTCACAAGCAGCGGCGCCGTCATGGGCATTGCTGTCCTCGTCGCCTTCATTATCATCCATCGTTGCCGCCGTTGCCGGCGTCATCGTGCTACCGCGCCCGCCCGAGTCACCCACCCGCATTGGATTGCACGCGCGCCAGCGCGGCTTTGGAGACGCGTTGGGAAGTTCCCATGAGTAAGTGCCATCGTGTCCGCAGCACCTGTGCCGAACCAGCTGGGCGTTCGCGCCAGCGCTGCCGCAGAGATGCGCCAGGAATTGCCTTCCAGCTGCCATAATCGTGGTCGCATGGGCTCTGCCAAAAAGATGCGGGTGGGTAGGCGGGATGTTTACTTGAGCGTTGGGATAGATGATTTCAAATTCTACAAGGTGGGTTGCACCACATGGATTGCACAACATTCAGTTTGCACCACAGAATAAGCACCACGTCCAGGTTCCATCATGTACGTTGCATTCCCCCGAATGAGCCGCATAAGTTTACCACGTGCATTGCCCCAACAGGATTGCACCATACACAGTTTGCGCGACACAACTGCGTATCAGTCATGCAAGGGCCTGTTGTTTGGGGGCCACGCTTCATAACATGCGGCATGACCTGTTCAGTGTAGGAGACAGGGCAATAGAAGCAGCGAGAAACATTTGAAGCACCGATCAATTAACACGCCATGTGTCAGATGCGTGCTGCCATTGTTATCTCATGACGTTTCCGTTCGTTCATCACTGGCAGAGGACACCACGCAGCAGTTACCCTCTTCCTCCGTAGCCCGCTGGTGCAACATCAACGTATTGTCGCTCTGGTTGGTGGACTGGCGGCATGGCGGACACCGAGCGTTTGCTGGGAAGTGAGGATTGCCATGCGGGTGATGGCGTAGACCCGGCAGCTCCGACAGACAGGGCGCTTCGCAGCAGACAGGTTAGTTTTGGAGCCGCTTCGGCTGGACTTGGCGCCGCGGCAGTTGCAGCCTCCGCTGACAATCCCGCGAGTTGGCTTGATGCAGGTTTTTTTGTGGTCGGCATGGCTTCTGATATAACATTTAACACATCCGTCCTTTCCGTGGAGTACTTGCGGACGCAGTTTGGTAGCAACGTCTTGGTGATCATCGGGCAGGCGCAGTTTTGGGGCTCGACTCTGGCAATGCTTGCACTCTTTGCACTGGGGCTCCAATTTCCAGCGTTGCTGGTGCAGAACATTACTGGGCAATCCATGTATTTGCTGGCTCTCATGACCTACATGGCGGGAGTGAACATCTTGTTGCTGCTATGTGCCGTTGGAACGTGGCGCTTGAGTATTGGATTGTTGCAGGTTTGCATGTTTATGAACGGGATTGCTACCGGGGCTTCGCAAGGATTGGGGGGAAGGCTTTCTGGTTTCATGACGAAGTTTGGATCTGTGCCAACCGCTGCTTCTGCACAGATGAGCGGAGTTGGCTTTGGCATAGCGTTTCCAACAGTTTTGCAGTTATCGTTGATGCCCTTCAATGCCCCTGCGCCTGGTATCGCTGTCGGGTCGTACTTCACCGCGTTAGTAGGCGTTGTTTGTGGAATGGTGGGTCTCGTGTTGCTGTCGCGGACAAGTAGTTTCCGTCGTATTGATGAGGCCGCGCATTTGGTAGAGGAGCCGTTCAGGAACAATTATAGAAATTGGGCAACCAGAAGATTACATCAAGTTGCCCCGCAGTCTGCTGTTTTGGTCGCCAACTTCTCCACGGGTGTTTATTTGGCTCTTCTCACGACTCGTCTCCCAGCGAAAGGAGCGCTTCCATTGCCCGATCAGCTTCCCACGCTACTTATCGGTGTCACGAACGCTTGTGACTTTCTTGGTCGTTTTCTCACGCTCCTGTGTTTGCAGCAGGAGTCCGAGTCGAAATTGAAACATGCGTTGCGGAGGATGCTTGTTGTACTGTGTGCTTTCGCGGTACGTTTTTGTATTGCCATTCTGTGCGTTGCGTATGGCTTGAACATGTGGTCTGCAGATTCGAACGCTTTCATCCTGTCTTTGTACGCTTGCGGGGCAGTACTCGGCGGCACGATCACGGTTGCAACTACTCAGAGTGCGCAAACGGTATGCATGCGTACGTCTGGGCCAAGCATGGATCAGATGAGTCCATTGCCTTGCCCTCTAGCTGGGCAGATCATGTTTCTGGCGTGTATATTCGGCTGCCTGATTGGCACCATGCTTCCCTACCCCACGGCATGAGGCTGGCAATGTCTCTCGGAGAGATGGTGAAGGGGGGGTGGTATTCAGTCATGCTGTAACACTACTGCTGCTCACTCCCTTGAGTATCAATGACTTTTCTGGACAGCGCAGCATGCCCAGCCGCGTCCCATGCACGAGTGAATATGACATCCAGGGCTCACCCCTTGTCTTACCCCTGCCCCTGGACAGCAAGCTATCTCAGGTACCTGCAACGCTGCGTAATGCACGCTAGATTCCATATCAACACATCTTCATGCATGTTGAAATGCGTTTATCAGTTGCTGTCGTCAAAACCGTATTTTCTTGAGGGCGTTGTCTCCGCAATGCGGTGGCCCCCGTCGCAAGACATCTACGAGCTTGTGGTGCAACAACACGCGCTATTGGAGAGGTCTTACGGCCGGTGCCGCCGACCCTGAACGACGACGACGAAGACGACGACGGTGACGACGGCAACGACGACGAACCCTCGGATTCCCCAGAGGGGTGGTATTCTGATCCAGGACCCCCCCCCAACCCCCCCCCCCTGGAACCCCTCCCCCGGCCAGACCCCCTCCCGGCGCGGGGAAGGGATCAAAGGAAAGGGGCTTCCCGTCGATGTAATCTCAACGTCCGTCATTGTCGTTTCGGCTGGAACGTTAGAAGAGAAGGACGCAGGGAAAGACGGGGAGTGGCCACGACGAGGGCGACGGCGACAAGGACGACAACGACGACGATGACGATGACGACGGCGACGGCGACAAGGACGACGACGACGACGACGACGACGACGACGACGACGACGACGACGACGACGACGACGGCGGCGGCGGCGGCGGCGACGACGACGACGACGGCGGCGACCCGGGATTTGATGCCTAAGGCAGCCACGCCAGAATGAAGTATTACCAACCACAATAAAACACTGGATCAACATATTGGATGGGTATGCTGCATGTCACTTACACGCCTAGTGTCCTGCAGGTGGTCGGCGGGAGGGGGGGGGGGCTCACAAACAGCGTGACCATGCTTTTTCGAAAACGCCTCGATCGCAGGGTGTCGGCCGTGACGCTTCAATCGCCTCGGCAGGGTGACGGCCGTGACGCCTCGATCGCCTTGGCAGGGTGGCGGCCGCCACGCCTCAAGCGCGCGGGCAGAGCTTTGGGCCCAGGAATTTATAAAGGGTTTTGCTTGACAGATACAAGAAATAGTTTGAGGATGTCATGGGTGAGAGCCGCACTTGGAAAAGGTGTAACTGACGGGGCGCTCAAGACTAATCATCGCATTCAATGAGGGAGGTCCTGGGCAAGATCCAGATTTTGTAAAGGGACCGCCCTGACAGGCGCCAAGATGCCTCAGCGATGCTGCAATATGCCCGCCGTTTCCAAAGTCCCCCCTCCTCCCGCAGCAATTTTGGTGCAACGGCAGTCCGACAAAGGGCCAACTACGCAATTTAGACAGTTGGGTGTGGAAGTTCGTCGACCCCCCCGAGAACCCCTCTATTTGGGTGTTTCTCATTGTTTTTTGTGTTCGGGTGTTTCTCAATGTTTTCGTGCTTTTTCGGGGTTTCTCCGAGGGGAAAACCTTTGAAACAAAGCCTCCCAACTGGTTTTTTTTAACCGGTTTTTCAGGGGTTCTTTGGCCCCGCAGTTAAAAACAATATCAGTTTTGAAATCCCTCCGGGAAACCACCAAAGTAACAAAACACAACATTGGGTTTTTCCATGTTTTTCGGGGGCTCTTTGGCCAGCCCAGGCTCCATGATTCTCTGGGGGGAAACCATTGAAACATCCCCCAACTCGATTTTTTTTTGCGGGGGATGCTCGGGGACTCTTTGGCCAGCCCAGGCTCCTGGATTCTCCTGGGGGCAAAACTATGGAACAACTATTTTTTGTTGTTGTTGGGGGGGGGGGGGAGGGTGGTGCCCCACGCTTATTAACAATACTATTTCTTTGCCCCCTCGGAAAACTCCCTAACTAGTTTGTGGTTGTTGTTGTTGTTGCTGCTGCTGCTGTTGTTGTTGCTGTTGCTGTTGCTGTTGCTGTTGTTGTTGAACATTATTACTTCTAAAGAATAATTATTGTTGGGGCCCCTGGTGCACGACCCCCCCGCCGCGCCTAGGCCGCAGCCTCATTTTCATCATTTTCGTGAGGAAGTCTCAGGCAAAACGGGTTGGTCCGGATCCGGTTGTGTTGTTACGATTTGTTTTCCCTTGCAAAAAATAAGCTAAAGTGGACATTTCTTGTTCTAATATAACCAAACTTCAAGAATCCCTTGCAAAAAATAAGGTAAAGTGGACATTCGCGCGCGCAAGACGAAATCCTTCCAAAACCTTAGTTTTCGTAGCGATTTTAACATAAAAACATCAAAAAACCAATGGTTTTTCAAAAAAAAATTGTCAACATTTCATCCCGCGCGCTCTTGCGGATTCGTAGGAAACCCAACACTTTTTAATCATTTCTGTCAAACGGGCTTTTGCGAGCAACTTTTTCGAACTTCTGCAACAACGGTTGCGCACCTGCCAGGGCCATCATCCCTGTCAAATAATACCATGCGGGACACATTCGTTTTTTCTTCGCGCGCGCACGCCGTCGTCGTCGGCCGCGGGGCCCTGAATAGTAGCCACGGTCGTCCGCATGCCACGAAGTGAAGTGTCCGAACGTCATAGGGCGGGAAGCTGGGTGTGGGTGGTGGCGAAGAGTCGTTTGGAAATTTGGTAGAGCTTGAACCGGCCCCCCCACAAAGTGGGGGTATTGCCCGCCTCCTATGAAAACCCTGGCACTGGTGAGAACGGAGTGTCCCCACGTGCTAGTAATTGTTGTTGTTGTTGTTGTTGTTGTTGTTGTTGTTGTTGTTGTTGTTGTTGTTGTTATGTTTTTTTTTGGGGGGCCAGCCCAGGTTCCAGGATTCTCTGGGGGGGGACCCCCAGAAAAACCTTCCAACTAGTGTTTTCTTCTGTCGGAGGTTTTCGGGCCAGCCCAGGCTCCTGGATTCTCCGGGGGGAAAACTCCAGAACAATGACCCAACCCGTTTTTTATGTTTTTGTTCGGGGTCTCGAGGCCCCACTTTAAACAACAACATTAGCTGTGACAACCCCATCGAAACACCTGAGAAAAAATAGAAAACCCAATTCGTTTTTTTGTTTCTGAAGTTTTTCGGGGTTCTCTGGCCAGCTCAGGCTCCCAGATTCTCCGGGGGTAAACCACCAGAACAAAAACCCACACTCGGGTTTTTGTTCAGGGTTTTTTCGGGGTGTTCGGTGGCGACGAGGGCCTCCCAGGAGGCCAAAGAGGGCGAAAACGAGGCGAGGATATCGCACGGTAGGTGTCCACCAGCGGCGACCCCGCCGCCGGCGTTCAACGTTGATTGCCGCCAGCGACACAGGATCGGTCGATGTTGAACGGTTGGACGTGTCGGAAATGGCCGATCGTTCAAGGCTGAACGATCCCCGCGGCGTCAGGAACTAACGCCGGGGTTGACACGACACCAGTCTGCCTGGGGAGTATCGGCACTTCTCTTGTCCTCCTCGGGCTCTCCGGCCCGCCCCACCCTCGGGCGCGCGATGGATCTGCCGGCGCCCCCCTTCGCGGACCTCGCGTGGCTCTGTGCGCAGGGGCTCCGCGCCCGCCGGGGCGACCTGCTGGGCTCGGCGGCGCCGCCCCAGGGGCCGGGGGGCGGGCGGAGGGCCCGTTGCTGACACCAACGGCCACGGACCCCTCACGAGCGGCGAAGAACGTGATGAAGAAGCCCAGGAATTTTTGCCACCACGGACCAGGAGATGTGCGGCGAGACTTCCATGTAGGTTGATAGTCCACCCGCGCACGACGATAAACTCCGAAACCACGATCGTGGAGGACAGCTGCTTCATGCCTTTGTTGTGCCAGGGAGCCGGTGGAGGGCCCAGAAATATCCGCGCCGCCAACAAATCACGACGGGATGTCTTCGGCCCTTTTCGGCCTCCGAGATGGGAGCCCGGACAAGAGAGCTCATCTCGAAGACGGGAGCCCCAACATGCTCGCGTCGCGAGAGAATCACGGCGGGAGATGCTCGGCCATTTTCGGCCTTTGGGGGCCCTCGTCGGGCACCTGGAGCGTCAGGAAGCGACTCGGGAGGAACAGCCGACCCTGGGGAGAGGGTCGGGACTTCCGGGGACCCCGTGTGGGAAATTAAGACGTCGGATGTCCAGGGGAGCGGCCCCAGCCTTTTTGGAGAAGCTCCCCTGAGATCTGGGCGTCGCGATTTTTTCACACCAGGCGTTTCTGCCTGGCTTCCAGGCCCAGGGCAAGCCAAGATAGGTCTTGTCCGGAAGATGCCGCAGAAAGACGGGATCTAGGGCTCCGGTTGTGACTTTTCGCGATGTTGTGTGTATTTTTTTCCTACATCGGATCTCAGGGTCTCTGAGCGTTCTCGGAGAAGGCTCAGAGACCCGGAGCGACGGAGTTATGGACAGTTTTTCCAAAGGCCCGCCGCCCTCTGAGAAGGCCTGGTGATGCTTCGGGTTGCGCACAGACAGCCCCCCTGTCACTCCGGCTGGCCTCGACAGGCCCCCTGAGCATTCTGGGGCGATCTCAATACCCTGGTACCGCTTCCAGTGGAGCCTCAGAGGGCGCCCCGCGCTACACCAGGGGGGTCTGCTGAGGCCAGCCAGGACTACCTGGGGAGGCTGTCCGTGCGCAGCCCGAAGCCTCACCAAGAATGCCAGCTTCCTCTGCCTTCCCCCCCTGTCGACTACACGAAGAGTGACCCTTCGCCGGAGTGACCTTTTTATGCGGGCTCACCCGGGACCCCCGACCGCTGAGCGTGATGCGATATTGGCTGCTTGCGCGCTTGGATTTGACTACCTTGCGCCCCCTTAGTCCGCGCACTGAAGGTCACTCTTGCCTAGGGTCACTCTTGTTTGTGTGGCAATCGAATAGGGGATCGACTACAGAATTTGTTTACTCCAAGATTAATCCCCCCAGTCGAATCCACGAAAAGTGCGTAGACTGCTCCGTAGATCTACGGAAGATTCTGCGTACTTCTTGTGGACTCGACGGGGGAATCAGTTCTGGGGTACACGAATCCTGCAGTCGATCCCCTGCTCGAGCCAAGAGGGCCAGCCTCCTCAGCCTTCCCCCCTGGGCGCGCCGCCGATGGACACCTCACCGCGCCCCCGCGCCCCCCTGGCTGCGCCCCGCCCCGCCCGCTCGCAGGGCTGCTGGCCGACGAGCTGCAGGCGCCCCTGGCGAAGCGTGCTGGTGCCGTCGGCGCTGCGCCGCCGGAGGGGGCGGCACGGGTGCTCATCTCGAAGGAGGGGGCCCAGACGTGCTGGCGTCGCTGGAAAGGTGTTGTGACGGGAGGTTTTTGGCAATCGCCCGCCTCTCCAGGGGACCTCGTCGGGCCCTGGGACCGTCAAACATCGACTCGGCGTGAGTTGCCTGCCCTGGGGAACGGGTCGGGACTTCCACCCCGTATTGAACAGCTCACGGCGTCGCATGTCGGGGAAAGCGGCGTGAGCATGAAATTTCGGAGGTCCGTGCTGATTTCTTGGACCTGCGCTGGGCTCCCTGGCGCGCAGAGTGCGCCAGGGGCGGCGCTGGAGGCGTCGCAGGGGGGGGAGCGCCGATCCAAGAAACCCCGCGCGGAGCTCCGACAGTTCAGACTTACGCCGCTTTCCTAGACGTGCGACGTTTTTTTTTTTTTTTTTTTTTTTTTTTTTTTTTTTTTTTTTGTTTTTGTTTTTTGTTTGTTTTTTGCGCAACGTGGACCCCAGGAGGTCTAGACCCCTTCCCTGGGACCGATTTTCCATCCCGAGTCGTCTTTTTGACGGTCCCAGGGCCAGGCGAAGGTCCCTGGCGGCCGAAAACGGCCCAAACTCCCGCAGTTGAACAAAAAAACGACGCGAGCATGCCTGCCTTCCTTCTTCGGCCATCGTCGCAGACACCGTTGCGTACCGACGCCTCGCGAAGTGCCAGGTGGGCCGGGACATGGCGGTGCTGGAGGTGGGCTCCTCCCTCGGCGACTGCACCCGCGTGCTGCAGGCGCACGCTGGCGCCGTGGTCGGCGTTGACGTGGCTGGGGACCTCGTGGAGGAGAGCAGGCGCCGCCACCCGCACTGCCGGTTCGAGTGGCTGGACTTCGAGGCAGAAAAAGTTGCGCAGACTCCAACGCTCGGCTCCCCGACAGTTTCTGTCTGTGCAGCTTTTCCTTCCTTGAGGACTGCTTCGAGGAGCCCGGCCGCCTCCGAGGCCTGCTCCGCGAGCTCCGTGCGCGGGGGCGGCTGGGCCTCTTCGTGGACGTCGGGGGCGACCGCACGACCGCGGACGTGTGCGCGGTGCTCGGCGTGCTGGCCAGCGCCGCCGCGAGCGAGGGCGTGCCCCCGCACCTCGTGGTGGTCAAGGCCAAGGCGCTGGCGGCCGCCGCGGAGGCCGCCGTCGCCTCCGCCGAGGGCTCCCCCGAGGGCTGCGCCGTGCCGGACCCCCGAGGCAAACGGGGTGCTTGCTGCGTGCCCCGAGGGCCCCGTCGCCCGTCACCGACACCGCTCCTCCTCCTCCTCCTCCTCCTCCTCCTCCTCCTCCTCCTCCTCCTCCTCCTCCTCCTGCTCCTCCTGCTCCTCGTCGCCACGGCGGGGGGCTTTCCTCGAGGCCCTGGGGTCAGACATGCGCCCCTGGAGAGGTCCGGGCAGCAGCGGGATCGGCACCTGCTGGTTTCCGCAGCTTCCCGGGCGATTTGGGGGCCCCTGGGGCCCTCTGGGCCTCGTGAGGGGTGATGGGGTGCTCTGGAGGCCGCGGGGGCCTCCTTGGGAATCCTGGGGGCACCCCGGGCCGGGGAGAGGTCCGGGCAGCGGCGGCATCGGTATCCTTCCTGTCCTCCCAGGACGTGCCGGCGTGGTGGGCGGCCGTGTCGGCGCCCCTGCCTCCGGGCAGCGCCCGCCAGGCGAAGAGGAAGCTGGGGCGCGCCCGCAGGGCCAGGCGGCGCGAGCGTGCGAGGGAGGGCTCTGCCCGTGGCGTGCCTCGCCCTCGGCGGCAGGCGGCGGGAGGCCGCGCGGAAGCCGGCGGGAGCAGAGCGGCGGCGCGGCTCCGCCGGCGGAGGCGCGGCAGGAGGTCGGCGGCAGGCCGGCGGCAGGCCGGCGAGAGGCTTCTGGTGCAGCATAGTGCCTACACCAGCGCCGTCCACGGTAGTTTATAATCGGGCGAAGAGAGAACTATACACATGCACCGATCTGGCAAGGCCCATCCTTGACCCAGGATCGGTGCATATACCTTCCTGGCCAAGGTAGAGGGCGTATGCGCCGATCCTGGGCTCAGGATGGGCCTGGCCAGAATCGGTGTATGTGCATAGTTCTCTTTCCTCTAGTTTAGAGCTCCACACGAGATCTGTTGCGCCGAATTTTCATAGGGGGGTAGTGCGCTTGGTGGGCCGTAGGACAGACTGTGGCGCGGCTCCACTGGCGGAAGCTGGCGGAAGGTCGGCGGATGGCGGCGGAGGTAAGGTAAGAGTGAGGCGTCGACCTTTTCGGGCTCTGGGTCTCCGGAGTGCGAGGTGGAGCCGGGCCGACGAGCAGACTCGGGAGGCCTTCGACGCCTACAGCCAGCGCTGGGAGGGAGCCGCCCGGGAGGGCGCCCTCGCCGATGCCCTGCGCGCGCGCCAGGCGCACCCAGAGGGGTGGGGGTCCGCGCTCCGTCAGCTCATCGAGGGCGCGGCGCCGCGGCGCCTGGATGGAGCGAGCGGCAGATCAGAAAATCCCTCTCGGTGGGCGTCAGCTGTCCACCTCACCGGTCCTGGGTCCAGCCAGGAACGTGCATGCAGTTAGAGCCAGAGTTAAGGATGAGCCCTTATCGCAAGGGCACCTTGCATCCCTCGGTTCTGGCCATCCTTAGCACGTCTGGGCGCGCGCATTCTTGGCTCTCGCGCCGCTCCGAGGGTCTTGCATCCTTGAACTCCATCCTTTTCGACTTTGACGGTGCACCGATCCTGGGCCCAGGGTTGGGTTGGCGTAAGCTTGAGCTTATAGGATGTAGCGTGCACTTCTTGCGTACGCGCGCTGAACGACCCGCACGCCGGCCCTGCGCACGCAGGCTTAATTTGGCCTCCCCGAGTCTTGAAACATGGAGCCCAAGCCCAGGATTCACCACCCACCAAATCACCCCAACCCAACCCGAAGGCTCAGATTTACCCTCGATTTCCAGTGGGGGAGGGTCGGGAAACATCGAAAAAACACATATGGAACCCTTACCCCCCCCAACCCGGAATTCGGGTCTTCGGGTTGGGTTGGGGTGGTCTGGTAGGTAGTCAAGGATTGGCATGGCCAGGATCGCCGAGGCGGACGGCTGACGTTCCCTGGCCCCCGCTCCTGTGCTCTTCCCACGCCGGTCTTACGCGGCCTCCGCCCGCCTCGCGCCCACAGCGGCTCTCTGGCCATCTCTTCCGTGCGCTTTTGTTGCGCCACGGGGGGGTCCACCAGCGTGTCAGTTTTTCCGCCCCCAGTCCATGCCTTCCCTGTTGTCTCCCTTCCGTTGAGCGATGCCAGCCAGCGGTGTACAAAACCAGCACGCTCAGAAGCGTGTGCCGCACTGGTCTGGTGCACGGTTGGCGTCGTCCGATTCCGCCTGTCGGAGCAGTTCTTTGCAGGGGGGGATAGCATTGTCAGGTGCTCTTTCTTGGCCAGCGAGGCCGCATCCGCCAAGATCTGGACCCCGAGTGTGCCTGCGGAGGCTTGATGGTCGTGGGCATTTTCTTGGCTCCTAACTTCCGGCCTGTGATGGGCGTAGGAAGGGGAGAATGAGGAGGAGGAAGAGGATCATGACGATGACGATGACGATACATCACGATGGTGAATATGGTGTTGTTGATGATGATGCTGATGATGATGATAATTCTGATGTTGATGGTGTTCATGATGATCGTGATAATCGTGATATTCATGATGCTCGTGGTGACGACGAACACGATGGTAATCGTGATGATGGATGATGGTGACGACGAACACGATGATGATGATGATTATGATGATGATGATGCTGATGATGGTTATGATGATGCTGATGATAAGGATGATGATGATGCTGCTGCTGCTGCTGATGATTCTGATTCTGATGATGATGATGGTGATGATGGTGATGATGACGATGATGATGAAGATGATGGTGGTGATGATGATGATAATGCTGATGGTGGTGATGATGCTGATGATATGATGATGGTGGTGGTGATGATGAGGAGGAGGATGATGAGGGTGACGATGCTGCTGCCGATGATGCTGATGACAGTGACGATAATTGTAGTGGTGGTGGTGGTGGTGATGATGACTTCGACGACATCGACGACGACGATGATGAAGATGATTGCAGTGATTGCGATGATGATGATGATGATGATGATGATGATGATGATGATGATGATGATGATGATGATGATGATGATGATGGTGATGGTGATGGTGATGGTGATGATGATGATGATGATGATGATGATCAGGATGATGGTGGTAATTGTGGTGATGATGGTGTTGGTGGTGGTTGTGGTTGTGTTCACGACGACGACGATGACGATGACGATGACGATGATGACGATGATGATGATGGTGATGATGATGGTGATGATGATGAAAATGATGATGACGGCAACGGCGACGTTGATGATTATGATATTGATGCTGATGATGCTGGTGATGATTATGATGATGATGATGATAATGAGGATGATAATGAGGATGAGGATGAGGATGAGTATGGGGAATATGATGACAACTATTGTGATCACGCTAATGGTGATGATCATCAAGATGGTGAGAGTAATGATGATGGTGATGGTGATGGTGATGGTGATGGTGATGGTGATGGTGATGATGATGATGATGATGATGATGATGATGATGATGATGGTGATGATGATGATGATGATGATGATGATGATGATGATGATGATGATGATCATGATGATGATGCTGATGATGATGATGCTGATGATGCTGCTGCTGCTGCTGATGATGATGATGATGATGATGATGATGATGATGATGATGATGATCAGGATGATGATGATGGTGGTGGTGGTGGTGATGATGATGATGATGATGATGATGATGATGATGATGATGATGATGATGATAAGGATGTGGTGGTGGTGGTGATGATGGTGATGGTGATGGTGATTTTGGTGGTGGTAATGAGGATGCGGAGGATGAGGAGAGCAGTCCGAAGGCGGAGGCGGAGGAGGGGAGGGGGAGGGGAATCAGGATGAACAGGAGGAGGAGGAAGAGCAGGAGGAGGAGGAGGAGGAGAAGGAGGAGGAGGAGGAGGAAGAGGTGGAGAAGGAGGATGAGAAGGACAATGTTTCGTACGATCACAGGTCCGTTCCTCTCCCTCCCCCTCCTCATGGACGTGGTCATGTGCAGTGGGAATCGGGTTGTGTGGGGCCAGGCGTTCGCTATGTGGTCTGCGCCGGCAACTCCTGGCGCCAGGTTCAGCGGAACTGCTGCGTCGACAATGGTGGGGGCGGGGAGCGTTGCAGGAGCAGCGGTAGGATCAGGCGGCGGCCAAAGTCGAAGAAGAAAAACAGCGCAGGAACATACTCTTTCGGAGGTCCGCGCAGATTTCTTGGATCGGCGCTGGGCCCCCCCGGCGGCGCCAGAGCCCGTGGCACGCACTGCGCGCTAGGGAGGGCGGTCCAGCGCCGATCCGAAAAATCGGCGCGGACCTCCAACATGTTGTGTTTATGCAGTTGTCCCTTTCCCAAAACGGGGAAGGCTTGTTTGGGTCAGCATTTGCATGTGCCCAGGAATCGAGCCAGGGGGCTAGTGCATGAAGGAGGACCCCGAGGAGGCGGCGGCGGAGGCGGCGACGGTTGCTCCCTGTTGTGGTGCCCGCCGAAGCAATGGGTGGGGGAATGTACATCCGCTGATTGGTTTCTGGCCTCGGCCGTGCTTCTCATTCAGGCCCAGAAGGTCTGCAGGAGAAACGCATGACTGGGATGTGCAAGCGCTGGTGAGGCCGAAGGTGGGTGATAAGACGAAGGATTTTCATTTTTATTATATATATACAACCAGGACATTTGGAGGACGGAAGAGACTGATGATGAGGATGGGGAGGAACGACAGGATGAGGATGAAAACGAGGGCGAAGCAGATGAGCACCCATTTTCGCCGAGTAGGTGTAGCCGTGGCATCCGTAACGTTAGTATTGTTACCATTGCTAGTCGGCGGTAGTGGTCGTAGTATTTGGATTACGCAGTCGCAGCTCTAGTTGCAGCAGTTCTTGTAGTTCGAGTCGTAGTCGTTGTAGGCGTTGTAGGCCGTATGAGTAGCACTACAATCGTTCGTTGTGTTACTTTCCGTGATCGTATCCGTCGGAGTAGTAGTAGCAGTAGTCGTCGTCGTCGCCGCAGTAGTAATACAGTAGCCGTAGTATTAGCAGTGGTCTAAGGACCAGTAGGTCTGGCTGCGCTTTCAGCATTTCGACCCGCCCGAAGAGGCTTTGAATTAGTGATGTAATAGTATGGTAGTTGTGCCGGTAAGAGTAAAAGTAGCCGACGTATCATCAGTGCGTTCGAAAATGATGCAGAAGATATTATACCTCATCGGCCACTCTTCGGGTGATGAGGAGATTCGGGGGGGGAGGGGAGGGGAGGGTGAGCGCTTGCGTTTGGCTTCGCATAGGGTTGGCAGTCCATTCGCCCTTCAAACTTGTCTAAGCCTTTAACTCTCGTAGCCATTCGAACATTTCCCCAATCAGAGCTTGCCTCTGTAGGGGTCCTAGCGGATTCATATGGTTAGGTGAGGTTCGTCGCCGATTTCGGTGGCCGGCCCAGGTGCCCAGGTGCCCGGGTGCACGGGTTCCCGGGTGTCCGGCTGCCCAGGTGCCTTGGTGCCCAGGTGCCCGGTAGCCCTACAGCCTTACAGCCCTATAGCCTTACGGCCTTAAAGCTCTATAGCCCTATAGCCATCTAGCCCTATAGCCCTGAAGCCCTATAGCCCTATGGCCCTAATAGCCCCATAGCCCTATAGCCCAATAGCACTATAACCCTAATAGCCCTATAGCCTTATAGCCCTATAGCACTACAGCCCTATAGGCCGATAGCCCTGTAGCCTCATAGCCCTATAGCCCTATAGTCCTCTAACCCTCTAGCCATCTAGCCCTCTAGCCCCATAGCCTTATAGCCCTATAGCCCTAGAGCCCTATAGCCCCATAGCCCTATAGCCATACAAAGATTCAGATTGGAGTTTTCTCTGGTATCATATTCTAACTCTTCTAGCTGTTCCCATGCGCTATCCGGGAACAACCCACGGGCACCTGATGGGACAGCCACGGGACAACCACGGGACAACCCACGGGACGACTCGCGGCTCCATCTCGGGACAACCCACGGGACGACCCACGGGACAACCAGGCGAGTTGCCGCGATACGGACGCAAAACCTTGTTGCCCGACTTGGCCCTGGCCTTAGCGGGCAACTCATCTTGCCCTCGCGCAGCCTGGCCTCGCCCGGACGCGTGACCCGAGCCGAGTCTGAAACCGAGTTCCCGGTTGTGGTCACTTCGTTCTCGCCCCCCGTGCGTCCGATTTGTAGTATTTTCAGTCGTCGCAGTAGTGCAGACGTGGGTGCGTCCGTGGTTCACCACTTCTGCACTGCATCTGCCCGCGAGGGAAATCTGGCCATCGTGCGTCGGTGGCGATGTGCTCTGCAGGATTTCGACCTCGCCACTTGCAAACCGGACCAGTTCGAGAATAGCCACTGGCT